CAGTCTTTTCGTTCGATATGGTAAGTTTCTATTATATGATGCAGATGTTCCTCAATTAAAAATCGTTCAATAGAATGCGACCCTGGTAAATTAGGTCCATCTGGGCAGTCAGTGTAGTCAAACATGCGATAAACTACTGTCGGCATAGGGTATCTATATGATTCATGATGTGGAGGTGGAATTATTTGCGGCAAATTGTGTTGCAATGCTTCACACAAAATTGAATCGAAACTTAAGTAAGGACGAGGTATATGTTTTTCGGCCCAGTTATCTTGACGTAATTTACGTATTTGTGCCCAAAGACAATCCAAATACTCCTCTTGTGGATGGGGAGTGTCTACTGACCATACACGTAGCGCATTATGATGTTTCTTTGAACGTTTGTTGAGATACACTTCAATACGTAAAAGCAATGCTTCTAACGAAGATTCTTTTTTTTCATATAGATCCCTTCCTACCCAAGGTAGAGTAGAAAGCACTGCAAACACAAACCAATCGCGACGTACTTGCGGTGCAGCATCTTCATTGGAGACATCAATCATTGTATCAAGAATTTGTATTAAACTTTGAGCTGATATCACATGACAATTAACCAAGTCTGCCAGAAATCTTAAAGAATATCTAGCAGAGTCCCAACGACATAGTTTTAGAGACTCCTTAAAAGTTTTAACCATGTGATCTACAAATTCTCCACCGAATTTGTAGTTTTTGGCATTGAGGAGGCCTACTAACGTTGTGTATATGGTACATTTTTCAGGCATTTTTACAGCACAATCAGACAATATACGTAAAATTTTTATCCTAAAAGTGCCCAAATCAGCTTCTAGCACTGACACAAGACCTTCTAAATTTGATTCAACCGAAGAGGTTGTGCGCTCTCCAACACGCAATATCAACGATTCTAATCGGTCTTCTATTTCCTGATTTTCAGATACGCGGCGTCGTTTACGATTCCGGTGTTCTAGTACAAAAGAAAATTAGCCAACAAATTTGTACCACAATATTTAAACCTACCGTAACCCTCTTCTTCTCCATCATGTGCACGTCTTCGACTCATTTTAAATACTTTAATTTACTTACGAAGAAACAGTTACCCAATTTTTTACGATAAAGCTGTGACAAGCCACTGAAATTGCTCGCTTTTCTTTTGTTAGTGATGCCATATTAAAATTTTATGAATGTCAGTCAACAGTTTTTAACAAATTTATTTCTACTAATATAAGTGATGCCATATATAATAATGAATGAACACAATCGCTGCAGTAGGTGTGTGTCCGTACTTATGGGGACACTCATTAAGTACAAGTGAGCAAAGTGAAATATACTTTGAAAACTACTCAAATGCCATTAATATACGAGGTAGAAAGTGATTATTATTTAAAATTTTGAATGCAACAACACGCATTCCCTACTATTAAATAGTTTTTACATTATCTTTTTTTATAATATGTTTAATGTTTTAAACAGAAATTAAATTCGGCGCCACTGCTTAACTTACTAAGTAAATTTTATTAACTATACCAATAGCTTCCGTGCTTTTTAACTTAATTAAAAATATAGTAAACAAAACTCAATGTTGCGAAAATGAAGAATGTAAAATTGAAAATTATCAAAATTTGACATATTTGACATATGAAACAAAATGTAAACGCTTGTGCCAAGTTAGCAACGTTGGAAAACACAGGGCTATACTAACACCAAATTTTTTAAAAATGATATTTTGTTAATATAAAAAATTAAACTAAAATAAAAGTCATTACTCTTACAGAGTTTTGAAAAGTCTTTCGATTGGTATACAACAAAAAGAAATCTGATGCGGTGTTTTCAATTTATAATGAAAATAAAGATTGCAAAAAAAAACGTAATAAATCGTGTGGTACAATTTTGAGAAATTTCAAGTCAAAACGCCACATATTCTGTCATTTATTACTGTGGACCCTAGAACATTGAACAATTCTATTAATTTATTTCCATTTCTATCTAGAATTTGATCTTTTGCATTTGTTTGTAATTGCTTGGTTCCCTGAGATAAAGTTGCCACACTAACCCCGAATTTTTGATTGCTGGTTGATCTTAAGAACCATCAACAATAAGGATTTCAACAAATAATTAAGTTGACGTTTTATCTTTAACACAATATTGGATTTGTCTAATCCGCTGAGACAATCGTCAACATAGAAATCATTTTGAATCGCTGAAGCTCCGAGTGGATATTCAACAGTTTATGTGACGATTCTTTCCATGCAATAATGTCTGTGCAGAACACGAACCTTTGACATCTGAAACAAAGTAGATTAGAAAAGAACTCATATTGAATTTGTATGATGTAGTATGTAGTATTGAATTTGTAGTATGATGTGGGATCAGATAATGAGATGTACTTCCCTCAATATCAATCTTTTCCATGTGACCCATGTTTTCATATTCTCTCATGAAGTCTACGTATTACTGCCAGACAGTCTCATGCCAGGCAGTCTTTTCAAGCGCATAATATAAGGAATTCTCGTTATGAAGGCAAAAGCGAATTTGCCGAAATACGTAGAAAAATAAATAAAATATTAACGGTATAGATAAAAGTTGATATTCTTAAAAAAATAAAACCGACTTTAGCATTTAATCCGTTTATCGCTATTTGATCAGATTCTCCAAGATTTGCTGGATTTTGATTTAAAGGTAGTTTCACTACAAAACGATCCAAATTGATTTGTTGCGCATTGTTCACAAAACGCGATTCGAGCAATTCTTCCTGTGTGTGTCTTTATTATAGATTCTAACTCAAATTCAATTGCCATTCTAAGAAATGTCATGTGACATTCCTATTCTAGGGTTGCGGTAGTTCTATTATCTAAATCGGTCAATATGATTTCTAGTAAGCCTTGGTCGAACATACGACCAACTTACTCACTGCGCCATTCAGGTTTTGGTGGCGCAATTTCGGATACTTCGTTTGATGATTGAGCTGGAAATGGGTGTTGCAACAATGCTTTCGTTAGTTACTTCGACCAATACAGAGTCGCGTTGCAAATCATTAGATGGTGGTTCGGAGAGTCCAAAAGCATCAGCTAAGCACTTTCCATTTACGATAGCTTCGGAAGTAAGTATGTCTGATGATAACTCATTTTCTTGATCTTTTCGGGTACGGAATTGGTTGGCATGAGTACGAATAAGTATACCATTTTGCGAAGATTTTTGTTTTTACAATATGCATGCTGCAAGTCTGGGTCTGTGGAGCCAATTCTCGTCATTTATTTTTCCTATTACTATCCAGCCAAGTAACACATTTTGCCGTGAAGGAAAACTCCGCAACTAATAAAATATTAATTTATCACTAGCTATAAAGCCTAGGTCAACAGAAGACACAAGTCTGTCTGTACGTACAGAAAAATACTCAGAGAAAACATAAGTTTAGATCACCTGCTTTTATAAGTTTGATTAAAATGTTTAGAGGTCCCACACATTTAAAAGTATTGTATGTTGATTCTGCAATGTCAGTTTTATTCAGTTCTTATATGGAATGTACAACTTTTGGATTTATTCCACAAGCGACTGAAATTGCACTGATGGTACCTATATTTGTTGTCCGTGGTTTTTAAATAAGAATTTCCAACTTCACAGCTCAATATTTCGAAAACTATTACGGTCTATAACCATCGTAATAATACAATGTTTGTTCCAGCGATCACAAGAACCTTTTGTGACCGATTTGGTTACCCCATATGAATATGACGAAATTTGAGAAAATGTCAGTTTTATTCAGTTCTAAACCCAAAATATACAATATGGAATGTTCAACTATTAAATTGATTCCACAAACGACGGAAATTGCACTAGATGGTGCCTATCTTCACAGCAAAAGAACCTTTTGTGACTGACTTAGTTTCTCCATTTATATACATATGAATGTAACGAAATTTAAGGACATTTCAAGTTGGTGTTTATAAACTGAACCACAGCAGACGCAAGTCTGTTTGTACGTACTGAAAAATACCCAGAGTAAACATGAGTTTGATTAAAATATTTAGAGGTTCCCACAAATTTATCAGTATTGTATGTTGATACTGTTATATTCAGTTCTAAACAGTATAATATGGAATGTTCAACTTTTAGATTGATTCCACAAACGACTGAAATTGCACTAGATGGCGCCTATACTTGTTGTTGGTGATTTTCAAATAAGGATTTCTATCTATTACGGTCAATAACCATCGTAAGAATACAAACATCGTAACAGCCAGCAGAAGAACCTTGTTTGACCGACTTAGTTACCCCATTTGTATATGAATGTTACGAAATTTTGGGACATATTCGGTTGATATATATATACTGAACAACAATAGACACAAGTGTATACAGACTTGTACACGAAAATGTATGTTGATACTGCACTGCCAGTTTTATTCAGTTCTAAACCCTAAATTTTCAATATGGAATGTACTACTTCTAGAGTGATTCTATAAACGACTGAAATTGCACTAGATGGCACCTATACTTGTTGTTGGTGATTTTCAAATAAGAATTTCTGCCTATTACGGTCAATAACCATCGTAAGAATACAAACATCGTAACAGCCAGCAAAAGTACCTTGTTTGACCGACTAAGTTATCCCATTTATATATGAATGTAATGAAATTTAAGGACATGTCAGGATGGTGTTTATAAGCTGAGCAACTTCATATGGTATACAATTATTGGCACTGAGAAAACATGTGTTTGGATCCTCTCATCTTATAGGATTAATTAAAATATTTTAAGGTCCCCACAAATTTATTAGTATTGTATGTTGATACTGCAATGTCAGTTTCAATCAGTTCTAAACCCAAAATATACAACTTTTAGAATGATTCCACAAACGACTGAAATATATGACTTCTATTTTTGTTGTTTGTTATAATCTTATAAAAATTTTTAACTTCACAGCTCGATATTTCGAAGATTATTTCGGTCTATACCCATCGTAACAATGCAATCTTTGTGCGTTATCGTTAGCTAGCGCAACAAAGGCTTAAGCGTTTTTGGTCTGATCTTGGAAACTCAGAGCGTTTGGAGTTCTGCGTTGATAGCCAAAGTGCAATTTGACTAGTAAGAAATCCTGAATTTCACAAAAGAACAAAACACATTGAAGTATGTTATCATTTTATGGCTGTAAGTACAGAAAAATGCTCAGAGAAAACATGAGTTTGAAACTCTTGCTTTTATAAGTTTGTTAAAATGTTTGGAGGTGCCCCTAAATGTACAATACGGGATGTTGAACTTTTTGATTGATTCCACAAACGAATAAAATTGCACTAGATGGCATCTATACTTGTTGTTCGTGAGTTTCATAATAGAATTTCGAACTCTACAGCTCGATATTTCGGGCTATAACCATCGTAACAATATAATGTTTGTCCCAGCGATCACAAGAACCTTTTGTGACCGACTTGGCTACCCCATATGAATGTGACGAAATTTGGGAAAAAGTCAGTTTTATTTAGTTCTAAACCCAAAATATACAATATGGAATGTTCAACTATTAGATTGATTCCACAAACGACGAAAACTGCAATAGATGGCATCTATACTTGTTGCCGGTGATTTTCAAATAAGAATTTCTATCTATTACGGTCAATAACCATCGTAAGAATACAAACATCGTAACAGCCAGCAAACGAACCTTGTTTGACCGACTAAGTTACCCCATTTTTATATGAATGTAACGAAATTTAAGGTCATGTTCGGCTGATATTTATATACTGAACAACAGGAGACACAAGTCTTTGTGTAAGTGCAGGAAAGTGTATGTTGATACCAAAAACATAGAAATATTTCTATGTTTTTGACTGTACTATGACATACAGTAGCAACGATTTCATGAAGAATATTCATAAACACAATAATTGATTAAACAATAATTGATTATGTTTTATATATAAAGTTTTTATTATTATTTTCTTATATCAAATAATAATATGGAATAAAATTATAAACTAACAAAATTAACTAGAACTATTAACTAAATTTATTTACATATTACTTATTTCTATTTAAAATAAAATTATTTATATAAAGGTGAATAAT